AACCATTGTAACATCTGCCCTAGTTTCAACTTTTAGGGGAATGTGGATTTTTATTTTGATGTGACTGAACCCCAGAGAGAGGCTGTCTGTGTATCCTTTCTGAATCAAGTCAAATGTAGTTAAATTAACATTGTTTTTTATTTTCTTTTTCTTCTTCTTTCTTTTTTTTTCTTTTTTTCATATTTTTTTTTTGTCTTCTTCGTTTTGTTTTTCTTCTCTTTTTTCCTTCTTGTTTCTTTTTTTTAATAACATCTTCAGGTTTCATAGAGGGTAATCAAAGAAAGGTAACCGACTTAAAAGGGTTAGGAAAGGGTTGATAGTGTTTGGATAGCGAGAATGAAAGCCTTCCTCATCCCAATCAGAGAACATAATGCTACATAGAGGGTCAAATACAGTACCTTTTGACTACATCCGCGTTGACACATGTTTCAGGGATATTTTCTTCGATGCTTCCCAGGTACAACGTTCTCATTTGCAGTGCTCTCATTACAATGTATGGACCTTTCCAATTTGGAGCCAATTTTTCTTTAACTTCTTCATGAGGTGGGAGGATACTTCTCAGAACGAGTTGTCCCACTTTAAATTTCCTCTGTCACGCTTTTATTGTTGTAGGCACGGGATATTCTTTGTTGGTACAAATGCCCGTGACAAACTGCGGCCAATTTCTTTTCATCAATCAAAGTTAATTGTTCCAACCGGGTCTTGACCCAATATTTATCCTCAAACTCAACTTCAACAATGATCTGAAGAGAGGGAATCTTAACTTCGTTCCAATTTTCTATTTATTTTCTTACAAGCCTTGTCTTCAAAATATTCTGCTTCTTGATTCATTATTTCAAGGTATTACAGCATTTTAGGATCCAGGCATGAAGTCTACAAGCATGTCATGTTATCAAAATCTACATTAACAGAACTGAAAAGAGAATACGAAAGGTGACAAGATTAAAATAAAAGACATTCGTTAACTATGAAATATAAATTTCATTTATTTGAATTTTTTAAGATGGAAGGGTTTACATCAGAAAGGAAAGCAGTGAAGTAAATAAAATTCGGATTGTACCCTGAAATAATCCGGACGCAGAAAAAATAGCAAGACCGGCTACCGAGACTCTCATTTGACAGAGAACTTTTCAGGTTTGGCGCCTGTTTTTAGGTTTTTCTTCTGTCGCGGCAATGGCTACTATGGCTTTCAATGCTCGATCATCAATTCTTCAACTGCCCTTTTGAGGGTCTAACAGTCCTCTATATCATGTCCCACTGCTCCAGAGTGGTATTCACATCTAGCATCAACTTGGTGCGTGGGGGACTCGAGGTTTGGCCTGTTCGGGGCCACTGGTTGCAGCAGACCTAGCCTGATTAGCTTTTGAAACAAACTTGAATATGATTCACCAATAGGGGTGAACTGATTCCTTCTAAGGGGCTCTCCTGGGCGAGGATTGTATTGGGGAACATTTTGTTGTGGATTATATGGAGCTTGGTAGAGACGGGCATTTCGGGGAGGTGGAGATCGGTTTTGTGTATAATATTATGGCCGCGTGAAAGGTTGCCCGTTCATCACCGCATAAGGGGGTGGTGCCACGGCATAAGCAACATCTTGAAGGGGATAATAGTGTTGTAGGACCTTAAGAAGTATATATGATTGGTTGAATGACCTGCGGGCACCCCTCAAGCTAGAAGCCATCATGGCTCCCTCTTCTCTCCCGTTTCAATTCATCAAACCCCCCGAATAATTCTGAACGGCCTGTGATGCGGCCTTAAAAGAAGCTTGACTCAAGATTCGGCTCGTTTTCAAACTATTTTTGACCATCTCCCCAATTTTGATAGCCTTAGCGAATGGTCTACCCATAGCAGACATCATGTTCTGGAAGTAGGCCGTCTTTTGGGCCTGTAGGAAGACCGTGACCATTTCAGCTTCGTCCATTGGAGGCTTTACCCTGGCGGCTTGCTCGCGCTATTTGACAGCATATTCACGGAAGCCTTTTGCTGTTTTCTTTTTCAAATTAGACAAAGAGTTTCTGTTGGGAGCGATGTCCATATTATATTGGAACTGCCAGACAAAATCTCGGCCAAATCATCCCACACATGCCAATGAGTAATCTCTTGATCGATGTACCACTCGGAAGGAATTCCGGTGAGACTTTCTCCAAAATAGGCCATTAACAGCTCCTATTTTCCCCCACCGCCCCTCAGCTAGTTACAATATCGTTTCAGGTGAGCGATCGGGTCTCCGTGCCTGTCGTACTTTTCAAATTTTGACATCCTGAAGCCAGCTGGAAAGTGGGCATGGGGAAACATACACAGGTCGGAGTATGAGACACTCTTTTGGCCGCTTAAGCCTTGCATGTGTTTTCAAATACCGAGATTTTTTTTAAAATCGGGTAAATTTTCTATCTCCTATTTTCTTCCTTCTGGTTTTCTCTCAATTCTTATTTTTATTTTTAGAAGTCGGTCAACATGAACAAACCAAATCAAACATAATGTACATGTAGCACATAAGATGCATTAGGATGGTGTTGTAATTTTCGGGTACACATGTCTTAGACGGACCCAACCCCTATGTCGAGTCCCCAAAGTCAAATGCACGTGATGCAACCAAACGTTCCTACTAGGGATCCGATATGAGGCTATGTTATTCTAGGTTTAAAATTATGGGGTGAGTTTTTTAGACCTCGCTTACCCAAGAGGACAATTCGAGTCGAGGTGGGGGTGTTACTGATCCAGCCTAGTTACTGATCCAGCCTCGCTCTATTTGGTATGACCTCTAACAGAAAAGTGGGTCACGTGCACGTGTGCACCATAAATTCAAAAGACTCAGAAGAGAGGTGTAAGAAGGCAGTTTATGCAGTTCAAATAATATTAAAGCGGAAAATGATCGCTAATCAGCACATTAGGCCCACAAATACAGTAATATCAACAATCAAGAAATCCAAGTATAGATCAAATTACAAGCTCGAATTATGAACCCTGAACCAGAAGTTCTGGGTTCTTGTCCCCAGCAGAGTCGCTAGAGCTGTCCCACCTCCTTTTTACGGGGAAAGGGCCAAAGGAGTTTTTCCAATTTAAGTGACATTATTTGAAAATGGATTAATTTATTTTATTTTAAAGAGTCGCCACTTGGAATAAATATTTACGGTGTCCCCAGTCACCATTTATTTTAAAATTCCAATTCAAGGAAATTGACTCTGTTTAAGTCTGCGAAACACAAAAGACGGGGTAAGAAATTATGTTGATCCCGGAGAAGGTATGAGGCACTCCTGAGTTCTGTAGTTCTAGTACGTACGCTTTAATAATTATACATGGCTTAACTAATTCTGGATATTTTATGTTCTAGGAAAATTTATGCACTTTTGCCTTAAAATCGTTTTTAATTGCTTGATTATTTGTAATAATGGAATTATCTTGAAACGAATCACGCGTACGTGTATTCGTTTTGTTTGGTGTGTCAAGATTTATGTCACGCGTACGTGTACATAATTAATAACACATTATTATTTTTAAGGTTGTTTCGCCCAAAGTTGTGTGAACGAATACCTTGGTTTTAGTGTTGGAAATCGTAATTATGTCACGTGAACGTATACATAATCACGATGATTCAATTAATTAAGAGTGCGCCTAAAGCATTCTAGCGCATTCATGATTTGTTTCTTTCCTAAGTTTGAGATTATTGTGAAGGCCATGAATTATAAAATTACTTGTGGAAGAAGTGTATGATTTTAGATATTTGAATAAATAAATTATCATATACTAATACCCTACAACCCAACAATTGAAGCCCAAACTTATTAGAGTCCAAATCTTCCCAACTTTAAAGCAAGTTTGAATACTATATTTCTAGAAACATGATTAAGCATATCGCATTTAAGGACTAACTTACATTATTATTTATAAAGTTTAAAGGCAAATAAATAAAATCGCATGAAATAAGATAAAAAGAACAGAGGTAAGAATAAACATTTAATACAAAATTTCCAATTAAATGGGTCTCCAAGAACAGGTATAATAACTCAGACGATCGTCGAACAAGCATAAGTGAAGAAGAATATCAAACCTAGTGAACGGAGGTCCAACGGAATCATCGACCTCTACTATTGACTCTACTGTTTGGCGTGTAAAAAGGGATGTTATGAAGTATTTTTGTTGGGTTTTGGGTGACGACTTGCTGGATTTTTCGAAAGAAAGACGAAGAAAGAATGACACGAGTAGAATTTAACTTAGCGTAGAAGAAGAAAAATAAAATTCTCTCAATTCCCACTTCTCTCCTCTTTGTTTTTCTCCCTTCTCTGATTTTTCACTTCTATTTAAAGAAAAAAAATCGGAAGTTTTCAGATTTTTTTATTTTATTATTTTTAATTTAAAAATTCTCACTTACCATTTTCCTTCTTTTTAAAAAAAATAAATTCCCCACATTCCTTTACTTTTATTTTTAATTTTTCACTTTCTTTACTTTTATTTTATTTAAATTTCCACTTTCTTTCACTTGTTGTTTTTAAATTTTCACTTTTTTACTTTTCTTTGTTAAATTTTCTACTTTCTTTTACTTTTGGTTTTTAATTCCCACCTACCTTTACTTTTCTTTTTTATTTCCCACTTTCTTTAAAAAAAAAATTAATTCCCACATTCCTTTAATTTTTTTTTAATTTTCCACTTTCTCTTACTTTTTTAAAAAATAATTCCACTTTTTGTTTTACTTTTCTTTTTAAATTTTTCACTTTCTTTTACTGTTATTTTTTAATTCTCACCTACCTTTACTTTTATGTTTAAATTCCCTACTTCTCTTTTTCCTCTTTTTTTATTTCCACCCGAAATTTTATTTATTTTTATTTTTAATTTTAATTTAATTTTTTGGGTTTTTTATTTTTAAAAAATAAAGATAAAAATAAAATAATATTTGTCTTTTTAAAAAATATTTTAAAATTTTTTTTTACCCTATAAAAAAGTTGAAACAAAGCTAAAAACTGTAGATTAAACCCCTAAAATATATAGTAAAAGGTGATAAAAATTTAAACATGGTCAAAAATTAGGTGCTCACAATCCATTAGAATAGATGGCACTTTGTAGTTATTCTTTGGAACTGATGGCTTTTTGTAGTAGTCATTCTTTGATACAGATGGCACCTTGTTTTCCTGTTTAGGCGTTGAGGGTGCCTTGTAGTAGTTATCTTTTGGAAGTGATGGTTTCTTGTAGTAGTCATTCTTTGGCAAAGAAGGCACCTTGTACTCCTGTTTAAGCATTGAAGGAGCCTTATAGTAGTTATCTTTTGGAAGAGATGGCACATTCTTGTAGTTATATTCTGGAGCATATGGTTTCTTGTAGTAGTCATTCTTTGGCAAAGATGGCACCTTGTATTCTGGTTTAGACACTGTGGGTGCCTTGTAGTAGTTATCTTTTGGAACAGAGGACACTTTCTTATAGTTATCTTCTAGAACTGATGGCTTCATGTAGTAGTTATTCTTTGGCAAAGATGGTGCCTTATATTCTTGTTTAGGCACTGAGGGTACCTTGTAATCGTTCTTGGACACTTGTGGCACTTCGTAATTCTCTTTTTGTCACGACCCAAAATCCGCATGTCATGATGGCGCCTATCTCTATAGTAGGCGAGCCAATAACCTCAATAAATCACTTTAATCTTTTAAGTTTGAACACATAATATCTAGATTTAATGAAAAATTCCACAAATACTGATACAAATACACTCCCAAAAATCGGTGTCACTGAGTACATGAGCATCTAAATGAAAATATAGTCTAACTAATAAAACACTGTCTGAAAATATAGAACAGTAAAAATAATTGAAAGGAAATAGAGTCAAGTTTTGCGAATGCCAAGCATCTACCTCAATAGTCTCCAACATATCAAACTCCTAAATTTAGATGTCGCTGTATCCGGACGAACCTAGATATGCACACGAAGTGTAGAGTGTAGTATGAGTACAATTGTGATGACCCAAAATGTCATCTTTAAATTTAATAATTAATTTTGTGTTCTAAAACCTATAAAAGCACTATTTATCATTCCTCGACTTGCGTGCGCAGTCCGTAAAATTTTCTGAAAATTTTTTATGTGAAAAATGGATTAAAATATGAATTTGAGATTTAAAACTCAACTAAGTTGACTTTGGTCAATATTTTAAGCAAACGGACTAGGATCAGTATTTTGATAGTTCCGGTAGGTCCGTATCGTGATTTGGGACTTGGTCATATGCCCAGAATTAAATTGCGAGTTCCCAAGTCTGAGATACGGAATTTTGATAAAAACCAATTAAAAGTTTAAGTTCAAATAGTGACTAGATGTCGAATTATAAGTAAACGACCCTGGAATAGAGTTTTGATGATTCCAACAGCTGCGTATGGTGATTTTGGACTTAGGAGCGTAATCGGAATTTTATTTGAAAGTCCGTAGTGAAATTATGCTTGAAATGGCTAAAATAAAAATTTAAAGTTTGGAAGTTTGACCGGGGAGTTGACTTTTTGATATCGGGGTCGGAATCCAGTTCTGAAAATTTTACAGCTCTGTTATGTCATTTATGACTTGGGTGCAAAATTTGAGGTTAATCGGACTTGATTTGATAGGTTTCGACATCGAATGTAGAAGTTAAAAATTCTAAGTTTTATTAAGCTTGAATTGGAGCATGATTCGTGATTTTAGCGTTGTTTGATATGATTTGAGGTTTCAAATAAGTTCGTATGATATTTTAAGACTTATTGGTGTATTGGGTTGAGGTCCCGAGGGCCTCGGGTGAGTTTTGGATGGTTAACGGATCAAAAGTGGGACTTAGCTGCTGCAAAAGCTGCTGCAATTTTTCTGCTGGAAATGCTGTCAAAATCGGGCTGCCTGACAAATCGAGCTCCCTAACAAAATCGAACTCCCTAACAATCGAGTTCCCTGACAAATCGAGCCCCCTAACAAATCGAGCCCCCTTACAAATCGAGCTCCCTCACAAATCGAGCTCCCTAACAAATCGAGCTCCCTGACAAATTGAGCTCCCTGACAAATCGAGCCCCCTGACAAATCGATCCCCCTGATAAATCAAGCTCCCTGACAAATCGGACTCCCTGACAAATCGAGCTCCCTGACAAATCTGTAAGTTATAAAAACAGGGGACTTCGTCCCATTTGCCTTTTTGACGAATTGGAGCTTGAGGAAAGGCGATTTTGATATATTTTTAAGAAAAAATATTTGGGTAAGTGATTCTAACTCAGATTTGGTCAATATACACGAATACATCATTGTTTTCACCATTTAATTAGTGTTTTGAGATAGAAATTTTGAAAAAATTTAAAAATCTCATAGAAACGAATTTTTGAGATTTCGGTGTCGATCCGGAGTTGGATTTGAGTGAAACTGGTATGGTTGGACTCATAATTGAATGGGTTATCGGATTTTGTAAGTTTCGCCTGATTCCAAGACGTGGGACCACATGCAATTTTTGAGCTAATTTCGAATTTTATTGAAAAGTGTAATATTTTCTTATGAAATTGATTCCTATAAATTTTGTTGACTGTATCGAATTAATTATGACTAGATACGAGTCGATCGGAGTCGAAATATCGAGGAAAAAGCATAAACTTGGTTAATATGGAGCAAGTCGAGGTAAGTGACTTGTCTAATCTTGTGTGGGGGAAATTTCTCCTAGGATTGGTATTGATGTGATTATTGAAATGTGTTGAAAGTCATGTGCACGAGGTGACGAGTGTGTACACGGGCTAAATATGAAGGATTATATTTTTAAATTGTATAGATCATTGTTGCGCATTTATTAAAATATTCTATCTTGTTATATTCTTCATCATTGATTAAATATTTATATTTTAAATTTATTTGTCCTTCTCCTGCTAATTGTTTTACCTGTTAGTTGAAACTTGATTTTTTTTATTTTGTGCATTATTTGAAGATTTATTTTCTTTAAATTAAGTATTATTAATATGAAGTATTTGACATTTTTAAATTTGATATTTAAGCAACGTATTAAAGAGTTTGAAATATTATTTTTCAGAATTATTTATTCCTGAATATTTTTGTAAGATTTTCGTACTCATTGTGATGGAGTCGCAAGCTCTTTATTGTGGAAAAATATTATTGATAATTTATTTTGGCATGAGCCATGAGCTCTTTATTGTGGAAAAATATTGTTATTGAATTATTTTGGCAAGTTAAATTATTTGAGCACTTGAGGTGCAAATTGTGATATATTGTGATATTGATACACATGCGGTGGTATAAGGTCTGGGTATTGAAATACATGCGGTGAGATAAGGGTGGCTTGATACGCGTGGCTAGTAGGGAAAACTACTAGAAGTCATGCGGTGTGATAAGGATGGCTAAAACGCGGGATGTTATTTCGGTAAACATGCTTTCTTTAAAATAAATTGTGAAGGCTCCCATGGTGAGATAAGGAAATGAGATATTGTGAATTTATTTATGATTTGGGACTACGAGGCGGTACCTTGGGAGTGCCCTTATTGATATTGATTGATGGCCGCAGTCGCCTTTGATTATTTGTTGTGACTTTTGTTGAAGTTGAAAGGAAATTTTGTTTTGTTTCCACGAGATGTTATTTGCCATTATTTTGTGTAATTAAACGGTAAAATGCTACTTGACTCATTTTCATTCTCATTTTATTTTATTATATTGTTAAATATTTTACCATGCCAATTATTATTTTTCAGTAGGGCCTGACCTGACCTCGTCACTACTCTACCGGGGTTAGACTTGGCACTTACTGGGTACCGCTGTGGTGTACTCATACTACTCTTCTGCATAACTTTTTGTGCAGATCCAGGTACATCTTACCAGCCTAGACGTCAGTGAGTTAACTGCGCATGGAGACTTCGAGGTATATCTGCCAGCGTCCGCAGACTCCGGAGTCCCCTTCTATCATTTTTATGTTGCTTCCTTATTTTACTTTAGACCTTGATATATAGAGACATTGGGAATAAATTCTTAGAAACTTGTGACTTATTTTTACCGGGTTTTGGGAGTTGAAATTATTTGAATTGTAGTTTATTTATTTCAGTTATTTATTATTATTCTGCATTGATAGGCTTACCTAGTCTTAGAGATTAAGTGTCATCAGGACATCCTACGGGGGGAATTTGGGGTCGTGACAACAACCGAACCCATGTACTCAATAAGTAACAAGACTAACCTTTGGGCTGAAAGTAGTGACGAGCTCAACAGGTACAGTCCAATATAAAAATAACATAAAACAAATGTAGGCATGTTCTTAAGTTCAACAGATAAGCCCAATACAAGTAAAATAGGTCAATTCTACATGATATGAGGAATGTGACATCTCTATATCTACATGCCAAAATACATGTTGTATGTGATGTACCACAATGGAAACCTCGTGTACTCACACTCTCAAAATACTCAATCACTCAGTACTGTATATGCCAATCCAGCCCAGGGAAGATCCATCTCCAAATATATATCACTGACAGTCAGTCACTCAATACTGCATAAGGGCAATCCAGACCAGGGAAGATCCATCCCTCAATGTAGATAATTAGGGAAGATCCATTCCAGGAAAACAACCATCCCAAAAATATAAATGATTCGAGCAAGATCCATGCCGAGGGAATATCCATCCCAGAAATATAAATGATTCGGGCAAGATCCATGCCCGGGGGAAGATCCATCCCTCAATGTAAAATCAATCGCGCTCATTGTGTGGGGTGCAGACTCCAGAGGGGATCCTTCAACCCAAGCGCTATAATAGCCAGATCCAGACATAAATAAATAAAATATGTTGCGGCGTGCAGCCCGATCCCATAAATATCAATCACAATCTCCAGTCTCTCGGGCTCACAATGACATGAAAATTAACTCGACATAATGATATGATGTATCAATGAATGACAACAAAGACAGAGATATGATGTGCAAATAATAGATGTGACTGAGTACAAATTATATTTTTAAACAATTAATTCGATAGCAACACGTTAATTTACCCGTAAATTCTCTCTGAAAAATTGCCCCAAACTGTATTTGAAATGTCCAAAAATGAGAAAATCTTGGACCCCTCTGTTTTTTGTAACCTGACCAGCATTTTCACTTTTGCGGAATATTTAACCGCACCTGCGGTCTCACAGATGCGAGGCCCTCCCTCGCTTCTGCGGCTTCCTTCGCTTCTGCGGATACGCTTTTGCGGCGGCACTGTCGCTTCTGTGAAGCGGCCCTTCCCTCCTCACTTCCGTTTCTGCGATCGACTCGTCGTAGGTGCGAGTCCGCTTCTGCAGTCCTACGCGCGCACCTGCGACCCCTGCCCTTTGCCAAGCAAATTTCGCTTCTACGCAACCAAGCTCGCTTCTGCGAGCCAAGTTTCGCAGGTGCTATTGCATCAGAAGGCAGAAAGGTTCCAGCTTTGTTCTAAGTCTGATTTCGATCTGTTAACCATCCGAAACTCACCCGAGGCCCCTGGGACCTCAACCAAATACACCAACAAGTCCTAAAACATCATACGAACTTAGTCGATGCCTCAAATTATATTAAACGACACTAAAAATACGAACCACGCCCAATTCAAGCCTAATGAAAACTAATGAATTCCAACTTCTACATTCAATGTCGAAACCTATCAAATCAAGTCCGATTGACCTCAAATTTTGCACACAAGTCAACATAACGGGCCTATTCCAATTTTCAAAATCGAATTCCGAGCCCGTTATCAACAAAGTCAACTCCCGGTCAAACTTCAAAACCTTCCATTTCCTACTTTCGCCATTTCAAGCCAAATTCAACTATAGACTTCAAAATAAATATTCGGACACATTTCTAAGTCTAAAATCACCATACGAAATTATTGGAACCATCAAAATTCTATTCCGGGGTCGTTTACACATAATTCATCATCCGGTCAATTATTTTAACTTAAGCTTTAAATCTTGAAACTAAGTGTTCTAATTCATTCTGAAACCTCCCCGACAAGTCATATAATTATAACTACGCATAAAATATTTAGTAAATGGGAAAACGTGACTGTGATACTTAAAACAATCGATCGGATCGTTACACTTTTGATACTAGTACTTGATTATATGATGGAACTGGTGAATTATAAGAATCAGATGAATATGCCACAGTGCAAGTTGCAATCAAGAAAAATGCTAAAGGACAAGCAAATTGATGCCATTGCTTCTTCATTTGGCTCCCCATTGAGAAGATTTGGGTTTTGAGGCTGATTAGATTGTTTTTTTCTTTTTTGTGTATTTTGAGAATGGTGTAACTAGCAGTTTATTTAGCCTAAACTAAATATGTGACTTGATGATTTGGATGCTTAAAATAATCCAAACTCATTTGATTTTCCCATTTTTTGGTTAATGCTGTTCCACTAAGTTCTTGAGATAATGGAGAGCCATGAACAAAATCACAACTTTGATTGACTAACTTATATGAAAAGACAATTAATCGGACCAATGATTAATTGGTCCCTACGCGACGCGTATCTAAATTAATCGGACCATTGAATAACCAAAACAAAAATGATATGGGTACTTTGATCGAAAACCATATACTGTTAGAACTTTCTCTGTTTGGCTGAGCTGGTTTTTGTGGCGAGGCAAGTCAAAACATGTAGTGAGACAAGACTTAGCTAATATATGGTAACTTATAATTAATGGATAATTTCTTATGGATTACCATCAGATCTAAACATATAAAATTTACAATCTCATTTAAGACATTAAGTTTTATTACATGAATCCAATTTTTGAGGTTTTTAGCACTAAACTCATTTTACTAATAAAATTATAATTTCTTAGGAGTATTTAATATTTATTAGAATTTTTTTAAGATTTCACATAAAAAATGATACCCCGCATCGAAAATAATAGGTATGAATGAATAACTGACCACCCTTTGTCGAAAAATTACACTGTGCATATAAGTAAAATATTACGTTTTAGAGATATATAACACATATTGAACACCCTTTGTCGGGAATTCTTTTTCACTTCTTTCAAATTTGAATACCCTTGGGAAAATTTCTAGCTTCGCCACTGACGAACACTGAATATGTCTCTAGGTACAATATCACCATTACATTTTGTTATGAGATAAAAGATTATTGATATTGTTGCAAATATAAGTTACATAAGTATAATTATGTTAGTCTCCTTGTAGGATTAATTATTTTTAGTCGTAGTACCAAGTGAGCAACCATTGGTCTCCTTGCCAAATCTAGATATACTTCAAGCTAATGTTGTTCCATAACTAAGTGCAGTCTGTTAATAGCCTTAAATATTGTGAATAGAGTCAGATACGGATCTAGGATTTTAAGAACATGGTGCATCACTAAAGAAAGGAGAAAAAAAATATTGAGTGAGAATTGATCTTTGTTATTTTGGGTAAATAACTCAGTATTCAACCAAGTGCACCATTCAGACTTTGTAGAGCGTGAGTGCCAACAGATAATATTAAACTAATTTTAAAAGATACATACATAAAATACCTAGTTTGGTGGATTAAACATGGGTTCACGTGCCCCGTTAACAAACCTATAAATCCGTCCCTGAATAGAGCTGATCAAAATCTGAATTAATGCAAGTGAATTACGAGAAAGAAGAGTTGAATTAACCATTTTGTTCCAAATCGTGCAATTTTGTTTTTCCCCTTCTTCTAATGGTCGATGATTGGGGATTTTAATTCTGTTTGCAGGTTTTAATTGCATATTTTGTTTCATTTGTATGTAGTGTTGCATATGATATCTTTCATAAATCTTGAGGTAGTTAAAGCACTTGCCATATTTATATTAAAAGGTGAAACAGTCACTCTTTAAATGCATATACTTTGAAGTTTCTCAATAGGTTGTTATGTTCTCATGTTTCAGAAATTAATCCTTCTAAATTTTTATGAAGGTCAGACTGATAAGTAGTACATAAATTATCGACAAAAAGAATTTGCATTAAATTGAACTAATCTTCTCAGAATTTCGATAATGAGACATGCAATAAAATGGAAAAACATGAGTTGCAACCAACACCAGAAAATACAAATAATGAAGTAATACAAATTTTGATATCAAGCATTCAACTCAAGATCCTTAAGATTTTGTTGTGTTGGAAAATGGCCTTCTCGAAACATGTTTGAACATGAAAGGTGAGAATTTAATAATATGGTGGAGGTGGTGATGGAGAAGGAGTTGAAGATGATTTATAAGAGTAAGGAGGTGGAGGTGGAGGTGGAGGTGACGGTGAAGGGGGAGGGGGTGAATTATAGTAGTATGGCGGTGGAGGAGAAGCTGAAGGTTTCTTGTAGTAATCATTCTTTGGCAAAGATGGCATCTTGTACTCTGGTTTAGGCATTGAGGGTACCTTATAGTAGTTATCCTTTGGAACGGATGGCACCTTGTAGCTATTCTTTGGAACTGATGGCTTTTTGTAGTAGTCATTCTTTGGTACAGATGACACCTTGTACTCCTGTTTAGGCGTCGAGGGTGCCTTATAATAGTTATCTTTTGGAAGAGATGGCACCTTCTTGTAGGTATCTTTTGGAACTGATGGTTTCTTGTAATAATCATTCTTTGGCAAAGATGGAGTGTTGTATTCCTGTTTAGGTACTGATGGTACCTTGTAATAGTTATCTTTTGGAAGAGATGGCATCTTTTTGTGGTTATATTCTGGAACAAATGGTTTCTTGTAGTATTCATTCTTTGGTAAAGATGGCGCCTTGTATTCTTGTTTAGGCACTGAAGGTGCCTTATAGTAGTTATCTTTTGGAACAGATGGCACCTTCTTGTAGTTATATTCTGGAACAGATGGTTTCTTATTATAGTCATTCTTTGGCAAAGATGGCACCTTGTATGCCGGTTTAGGCACTATGGATGCCTTGTAGTAATTATCTTTCGGAACAGATGGCACCTTCTTGTAGTTATATTTTGGAACTGATGGTTTCATGTAGTGGTTATTCTTTGACAAAGATGGTGCCTTGTATTCTTGTTTAGACACTGAAGGTACCTTGTAGTCGTTCTTGGATACTTGTGGCACTTCGTAATTGTCTTTTGACACTGGTACTTGATTATATGATGGAATTGGTGTTTTATAAGAATCAAGTGAATATGCCATAGTGCAAGTGGCAATCAAGAAAAATGCCAAAGCACAAGCAAAATGATGCCATTGCTTCTTCATTTGGCTCCCCATTGAGAAGATTTGGGTTCTAAGGCTGATTCGATTGTTGTTTTTCTTTTTTGTGTATTTGAGAATGATGTAACTAGGAGTTTATATAGCCTAAACTAAGTTAGTGAATTGATGATTTGGATGCTTAAAATAATCCAAACTCACCTGATTTTCCCCCTTTTTAGTTAATGCTGTTCCACTAACATTTTGAGATAATGGGAGACCATAAACATATCATACACCTTAGCTTGGCTCACTTATTTTAAAAAATTAAATCCATACTTTTATTACATGTAGAAGCTAATAGCAAATGGGAAAATAGAGAAATTAAACTGCTTTGTTGATGTACTGGAAAACTCTTTGATGTGTGTTTCAACTTTCTTTTTCTTTGATAAAAAACACTTTAACTATAGAGGGGCGTACAAATCGAACCGAAAAACAGCACCAAATCGAAAAGTTAAATCAAACCGATTAAAAAATTCGACTTGGTTTGGTTTGATTTGGTTTGGTATTGAGTAAAAAAATCCGAACCAACCCAACATATAAATATATAATTTTTATATATACTTTTAAGATTTTATAAAGAATTTTCTTTAAAAACTGTCTAGAAATATTTGGGATTCTCTTGCGGAATATAAATTTTAATAGAATATGAATCGCTCCATATTTATTGACCTTAAATAATGGGTTGTATGATCATTTTTTTATCAAGTGTTAATGAAATACGTCTATCTGTTTGTTCTTCCATATTCATATCATATGTTAAGATCTATTAAATTCTTATATCTTTTTCGAATGTGAAGTGATTATTAATATTTAGGTATCATATTGATTTTTATGTTTAATTACTAAATTCGGTTAACCTGAAAGTGCACATCAACGAAAAATTATTGTCAGATGACTTAAAAAATAACTATTAGGAGTATGTGTTACTAATAAAATTCTCTCATAAGAATATTTTAATCGATAATATGTTTGTCAATTTTTTATATTTTTACTAAATATATATTTACTTATCAAATATTTAACAAAGTAAGATTGAAATAATATTTAAGTAACAAAAAACCCGAAAAATCCGACAAAATCGAATCAATCCGAACCGATATAGTTGGGTTGGAAAAACCGAACCAACCCGATCCATGTACATCCCTAGTTGTATCAATAAAATAGATTGACTTCCAAAACTATAGTTTCATACCTACATGTATTTGTGAACTTATAAAATTATTGGAAAGGAAATAAAAGAAGAAAAATACTAATATTTAAGCAGGCATTTGGCCATAAGTTTTGGAAGTCTTTTTTCAATTATTTTTTTCAAATATGTGTTTGGTTATAGAATTAATCTAATTTTTGGGAGATTTGAAAATAGCTTAAGACATCTTTTTGGGTGAAATCATGATCATTAGGGCCTTTTTAGCTAAAAAAAAAAAAAAGACTTTTAACATGTCAAACTTGTCCCAAAATTCATGTCCAAACATTTGAGAATCTATGTCCAAACGGATCCTAAGTCATTAGCGGATCTTACTAGTTCATTAGAACTTTTATATTATAAAATATATTTTTTTTTTTTGCTTATCATACTATTTATATTTATACTATACAATATTCGTTTCAAAAGAAAAAAAAGGACGTACGAGAAATAGGCCATCTACTTCCGGACTCAATTCAGCAATCCATTCCTTATATGTTTTTAAACAAAACTTGAATATTCAGAAAATAATAAACATAATAAAATAAATTAGAATATTTCATTATTAAAATTATTTACAAAAAGTACGAAAGAAAATCGTAATTTTTTCATTTGGTTCACATAGAAAAGGGCCTCCTCTTTTTCTTCTCCTTTTTCTAATATTAAAATTTAAGGTCCCATAGAATAAGTGTTCAAACATTAGGGGGGTTAAATGCCTTTTCCTAAACCTCAGAGTGTCCATATGATAATTACTCATTTTTCAAAAAGAGTCTTTTTTTACTCCCTTTCCCCTTCTCCAATCGCCGTTTTCTTTCAGAAACTATATTTGCTAGTAGATTTCAGCTAGTATTTTACTTCTAAACCCAAATGCTGAAAAGCTCCAATTTTTTGAAGTCTCATATCTTGACAGTAGGCAAATACTAATTGCAGGTACCAAATTTATGCTTATTTTTACCAAGTTTATTTTTTTATTCAAATTGAAGCATACCCATAAATCAATAGAGAGTAAAATACTGGTTTCAGGTATCAAGTTTTATGTTTATGCTTTTCTATACAACTTGAATTCACCCATATATCAAAAACGATTAAAATAGTATTTGTAGGTATCAAATTGCATATACATTGAATACCAAGTTCAGTTTTTTCATTCAATTTGAACTGTGTTAGTATAGTATTTGTACTCTTATGCTGTAATTTATGTACATTGCATAAGGGGGTTTAATTTAGGTAAGCACTGAATCAAATATACTAATTTCTAGTTATTTTATTTGCTCAAATCTGGTTCTCAAATTGCATATACATCAGATACCAAGTTTGCCTTTTTATTCAACTTGTATCGACTTACAAACCAAGTCTGAATCAAATACGAATTGCTGGTATTAAATTCTATATTTATTGGGTACCAAGTTTTACTTTTTCATTCAACAACTTGGATTCACACGCCCATAAATTGTTATGATATTTATCTTGTTGTTTAGACTGTCTAAACTGCAATTGCTTGATTTATTTTGCTCCTTCGCTTGCTTATCTAAATGGGAAGAATAAGTGTGATTTGGTTACTGAGTTCTGATAGGGCTTGAAGTTTCTTTTCGTTTTCTAAGTTGGGCTGAGCTCTCCCCTCGTCTTTGAAACTAGTCCCTACTTGTAGAGGCAAATTCAGTATTTTTTAAGCCAGCGAGTGTAGAATACACTACAACCACTATTACTTTGCGGCAATGTGTACATACTTAGTATAACAAAATACATAAATAAACGTAGATGCGTTTTTGTGTGTCGCGAAAGCAAAACTTCTCACGTCTCTATGACTCTTTAAGGTATATCTTGTGGTATTATTGTGTAAGAATACTTTATATATTTGATGTTATCGCAAGTAAAAGACAATATCATAATCTTTATCCTACTGGAGGATAGGTTCAATCTTGATTATAAATTTATCTATGAAATCGAGATAGTTACCTTTCATAAAATTCTAACATTAGCAGCAATGCCTATGCTTTATTCTTCTGAAGGTGGGAAAAAAGATAAAACTAAATAAACGGATTATTCATCCAAATTTTAGTTTGAAACTCATGTAAAATAACCTATTTTTCTTTTGGTTAACAAAAAAACTTGATGCCTAATCGAATTGTTTGGGATTCAGAAGTGGAAGAAATTGGTTTATTTACTAATAGTGGTCAAATTGGCATATTACCAAATTACGCCCCTATTGCCACAATGGTAGATATAGGGATTTTGAGAATACGTCTTAACAACCAATGGTTAACGATGGCTCTGATGGGTGGTTTTTCTAGAATAGGCAATAATGAGATCACTGTTTAGTTGTGTAAGTCTAAAATTATTCAAGTTTACATATAGTTATATATACTTTAATTTGAAGGGCAGAGAGTCTAGCGTACCCCCTGTCACAATACTACCCCAGGCCCTATGCTTGGGCTTGCTTAATTTGCAGCCTACCCTGCGTATCAGTTATATATATTTTTCTTGGTGAAAGTATCAGTTATGTTATTGAAAGGGCATTTTGTGGTAGATGATAGAGAGGTGTTTTAAGAGCCTCCGTTGCTAAGGCCTTATGAGCTTGTTTTAATGTGGCAGGAGTTATCTAAGATGCTTTCAAAAATTGCCAAAATCCAGCTTGTGAGTTCGCATCCTGAGGTTTACGAACCATGCGATGATTCATTTGCATTGGTCGATGCGTTATTAGCTGATCGAACTAACTTGTTACAGCACCGTCCCTCTATTTGTATGGAAATTGGTTGTGGTAGTGGGTATGTTATCACTTCACTTGCGGTTATGCTCGGACTTGAAGGATTCATTCCATACTATCTTGCAACAGACATAAATCCTCATGCAATAAGGGTGACCCGTGAGACGATGGATGCTCATGGTGTTTATGCAGAGTTGGTAAACACAGATATTGCATCTGGACTCGAGAAGCGATTGGGAGGATCGGTTGATGTGATGGTTGTGAACCCTCCGTATGTTCCTACGCCTGAAGATGAAGTTGGTTGTGAAGGTATCGCTTCTGCATGGGCCGGAGGGGAGAATGGTCGAAGTGTCATTGATAAAATACTGCCTGTTGCTGACAATCTTTTGTCGGAGAGGGGTTGGTTATATATGGTCACGCTTACTGCTAATAACCCCTCAGAAATATGCCTTGAGATGAGAAAGAAGGGTTATGCATCTCGAGTCATCCTGCAGAGATCAACTGAAGAAGAAAGCCTCCATATTATCAAATTTTGGCGAGATTCTGATAGCCAGTTGGAGCTGAAGAATTTAAGTTATTGGACAAAACTGGTCAGGAATTAGTGAAGGGTTTCATTTGGTGATTTCATCGACTGTACGTTAGGTAACATACTACTGACTATTAGTTTTAGCATTGCAGATAGAGGGGAAGTTCATCAGCTGGATGTGGTAAGATTATCTCATAGTTTTCCCTTTGTTTTGATAATATCCACTCTTTCCTTTTGTTAGTTTGAAGTAATACATAGAAGTCAAAAACTGCATTACATTCTTTTTTTGTTTTGTGATACTGTTGTTCAGGTGACATCATCTTAGATTGGTGTTTGTTATCTTTATTCAAAGGATACTCAAACAAGCTGACTCACTCTCAACTTTATCAAGTACCTCACTCATATATATTCGAATTAATTTGCTTCCAAGATAAATCCTGCTTGCAACAAGCTAATGCATTCACCATGATAAAAGAATCAGTTAATGAATATTTTTTGATGGATATTATCTGGATGATTGACTGGTTTGGTGTCTTTCTGAATTTACTTATTTTTCTTACTGCATTTTTATCATGTCACTGCTGAATCCGGATAGACCATATCTGTGTAGGTGAAAGGTTGTAGCCCTTTGAAAAGCCTCTATCTTTACTATACAAGTGTTTCAAGCCGAATAAAACAAGAGGAATAGATCCAGCTGGAGAAGACAGTGGAATGGTCTTTTTCTACTATGGATGGCTAGCAAAGGGTTTTATTGCGTAAACTTTTTGTTAGAGACAGTGGAGTTTATTTTTCTACTTTGGATGCTTAGCAACCGAGGGTCTATCGGAAACAGCATCACTACCTCTCCAGGTTGGGGTAAGGTCTGCGTATACACTATCCTCCCCATACCCCACATGTAGGATTATACTGGGTATGTTGTTGTTGTTGTACTTTGGATGCTTAGCAAAGGTTCTTCCCTAGAGACTTTCTGCAGTTGAGGACTTTTATCATCATATCAAAGCCATGGGGGATGTCGAACATCCAAGTCCTGGATCTTCAAGTAAAAGCCAGACTTTCTTTACCAAATTTACCATAAAATTAGCTATTAGAGTGGTGAAGTTGAAAGAAAAAACATTAATGTCATAGCAAAGAAAGATGTTTTTGTCCTTTAATTATCAGGGGACTGTTCTCCTTTGAATTCCCAGATGAGAAGTGTCTAAAAGTTTATAGAGAATATCATGATGAGAAGTAATTACTAACCAGAGTGATTACTATGTATTGACAGCAAATGAGATGCTTATTTGTTTAATGTAGGTACAAAAGCACTGTGTTGACAGTTTGCAGTCAAAAAACAAAAAGCTTTGAAAAATAAGGTTGAGCTGCAGTTTTACCATAATATTTGGTTTTGAACCTAGCTTCCTTTGTGGCAGTAGCCTACATTTTTCAAAAAGAACTGTCATTGGCTCCTTTTATCTACTAATGTAGCAATAGTGTTGAAAAGTTGCATTTGGATATTTTCTTTGTACTGTTGCAGTTGATCAATCTTGAGAAGAGAAACTTAAGAGGGGGTTATCTAGGGCTGGGCATATATCTGGTGTAACTGATAGCCCGAACCGATAAAATACTATTGGGTTATCGATATCGGGTTATTGGGTAAATAGTTCGATAATGGTTTAATGCTATTTGACAATTGTGTTATCGGTTCGGGTCTCGGCTTGCCCAATTTTATTAACGGTTCATTCTCTCGATTCTCTCGACAATTACTCTTCATCTTCAGACATTAATCCTTAGAGTAAGTTTTAAACTTTTCTGGATTTTTCATCTTAATTCTTCAATTAAGCTGTTAAGATATTTAGTTTAAAATTTTAAAGAATTAATTGACCAGATATTTAGTTTTTTTATTTGTTTATTTTGTTGTACTGATTCTTTAGTTTTCGCAAGATTTGAATTTTATTATTTTCATGTGAATTATGTCCGCCCGCAGTGAGATAGTTAGTAAGATTAGATTGTTGAATGTCTTATTCCTTACTCCTACTAAATTATAACTTTGAAAATCATTCATTGAGATTTTCAAATGCAAAGAAAGTTTTCTTTTCTAAAGTTGAAGCTTAATCTCTCTTTTCTTAAGAACAAAAATACAGTTCCTTTCTTTTAATAGTATGACACGATTTCTATAGTAAAAATATGAATTTTTTGGATATTTTTATTCTTATCGGGTAAACTGATAACCGAACTGATAAGGATCGATAATCGATAACCGATATCTTATCGGTTTGGTTATCAATTTAGCATATTTATAAACCGATAACCGATATGTCGAACCGATAACATTCACAACTGAACCGAACCGATCGATATCCACCCATAGGGTTATCCATGTTCTTCCCATTCTTTTATATTGTGTGTTTGTGTTTGAGTATATTTAGACTCTAATTTATATGTATAGACTATACAGTATAGACTCAATATCATCCTTATTTGCATTACCCATATTCCTAGATGAACATACGTTGGTAAAAAAAGTGAAATCATTATCCAAAGCATGGCTAAGGTCTTCGAAAATGTTACAGCTTGTTTGGATGGTTATTATCTACTGTATTGTATCGTATTGTCACTTTAAATACGATGTTTGTTTTGATTGTTACTTAAACTTTATTGTATCGTATCGTTAAATTCATCGTTACGTAACAACGAAATGTACAACTTTATGTAACGACCTATTTGGTGTGGTCGCATCGTTACCTTGTCTTTTTCACTCAATCTCACCCTTCATTATTATTAAATAATTTTATGTTATCATTTGTCCTACCTTTTTATTACCGTGTCATAATATTTTTTATTTTATAATATTGCAAGTTTATTCTTCATATTGCTGGTGTGTGATATCATAAAACGACGGCAGACGACATAATCAATCCAAACATTGTATTCATCAAACGATACAGTACAATACAATATGATACATTATGAAACGATACGTAACAGCCATCCAAACAAGTTGTTAGTATAATCAGCTTCCAAATATTCTTTTTTTAACTTTAACTTCAATTATTTTTTCCTCAAATTATGTGAAGTTTGATCAATATTTTAAAATATATTTTAAAATCATATTGACATGAGAAAAATCACTAACTTAAAATATTTTTTGTATAGTTTTTTAATATATAAATTTTAATTTTAAAAATATTAAAGTGAACTAATCAAATTTAACTTTAAAATTTAGTGGAATTGATTCTTGATAAATAAAATATGTTATCAAACAGAGAAATTATTAATAATGTATACTACTTCCGTTCCAATTGATGTGAACCTATTTGCTTTTTGGTTTGTTCCAAAAAGAATGACCATTTTCTAAATTTAGAAATAATTTTGCTTAAACTTATAATCTGACAAATATTTTGGAATCCTTTTTAAATTGTTTAGGATCATAAATTTAAAAAATCTTTATTTTTTCTTAAATTTCGTGTCTAGTCGAACAAATTCACATAAACGAGAATATAATTTAGATCTTTTCAAAGTACGTGAATATGAACTATATATGGCCGATATTTTACCGACTTTATCTCCAACCCCCTTTATAATACTCCTCTATCCTTTCCCCCCCCCTCTAAAAATCCTCATCCAAACAACTCCCAATACCCCCCTCTTTTGCATCCCTCTTTCTCTCTCTAGAAAATTCTTCAGAGCTAAAATCAATCATGGCACAAAAGAGAGAGAAAGAGGAGGCCGAGCTGAAGGTTCCAGAATCCATCCCTTTGTGTTCCCCAACTCTACCAATTTCTGCTCCGCCGCCGCACCTCTCAGCCACCGATACGAAAAGGTCACCTGAGATCTCAGATCTGAAACTTTCTGCTAGCTCGCTTGAGAGAATAGATCTGAAACTTTCCACTAGCTCGCTGGAGAGAATAGATATGAAACTCTCCGGAACCAACGAATCGAGATCTAGCTCCGATAGCTCGCCGGAGAGCATAGATCCAAAACTTTCCAGCTCTGATAGCTCGTCGGAGAGCTTAGATCTGAAAATTTCCGACACGGACGAATCGAGATCTACCTCAGCTACATCGCCGGAAAGTACGGATCTGGTCGGTCGAAAGGCGGCGACGAAGAGGCCGAGGGAAGCTAACAGGTGCTGTGGAATAGGTTGCCGGAGGAAAGTCGGATTGATGCCGTTCCGGTGCCGGTGCGGCGAAGTGTTCTGCTCGGAGCATAGGTATTCCGATCGGCATGATTGTAGTTATGATTACAAGGCAGCTGGTCGTGAAGCGATTGCTAGGGAAAATCCAGTTGTGAAAGCTGCTAAAATTCTCAAAGTTTAAAAATGGAAAATTTGAAGATTTTTCCCGAAGCTCTTGAAGCAGTCAAGATGGGGGTGGTGAGGGGGGGAGGGATGAATGGTGAGGGTTGTTGTGTTGTAAATTTGACAAAAAGGATGAGGGTATTGTTGTCATTTAAGTTATTAAAATAAGTTAGTGGAGAACTTTTCTTTTTTCCTTTTTTAAGTTTTATATCTATTTGCTTTAATTTTGTGCTGTGTTGTACTCCTGCCATTCTGACAGGAAAATTATTTATCCTTACTGCTAAAGTCATTTGTCCTTACTGTTAACACTAGTACTTAACCAAGTAATTTAGAGGGGTCCTTCGGTAGAATGTAATAATGTGAATATGGTATATTAGTAAAGCTGATATTAGTTATATTGACATTAGTTATGTTGATATATTTTATATTTTTTATTTAATGTTTGATTTGATATAGTACAATTTTTAAGAGAATTGTTTGTTACAAACCAAACCTTTTTCATATAATTATTTGATTTCTCTAGCTATATTGTAGTATAAAAATGAATATTTATTATTAAAAAAATACTAAGTATTTATTTATTTATTAGGGATATAATTTTATTTTTAATTTTTTTGGATTATTACAAACATGTATTAATATAATAGTATATTTTAATCAAGCATAAATTTGAAGGATAATTTTGTTTTAACTAAGTTAATGCATGCATTAAAACTCATTGCATTGTTAATATCATGATTTCTTGTGTATTAGTTATGCATAGGATAATATCAAATAGAGTGTATAACTAATGCATATGTTCAAAAAGTGTATCAAATAAAATATTATTAATACCTAGCATGTATTATTTTATCTAATGTATTCTACTAAACCACCTCTAATTGTAATGTAATTGTTACGAATTTAAGAGTGAATTACGTGATTAGTTTGTATATTATTAATAAAAACAACTATTGTTTCTTAATCACAAGATAATTGGATTGTTACGAATTTAAGAGTGAATTACGTGATTAGTTTGTATATTATTTATAAAAACAACTATTGTTTCTTAATCACAAGATAATTGGGTTTTCACGTGTGTATGCTTATCCATTTAGTTCTACTTGGACCTGTCTGTATTTTAATATACTAGTTTTAGGATACGCGTGTTGCTCGTGTTATCTATCTCAATGAATATAAAATTTTAGAAAGTTACATAAATATTATATTTGAATTTGGATTTGAGTTATAAAATTAAAATTAACAAAAGCTTAAGTTTCTACAAGTTGTTGATCCTAATTAGCTAACCTCAACAAATGAAGAAACTCTCAAGACCAAAACGCAATTTTTCTATTTTTATGATCAAGAAGATATATCATATGAATTGTTTCCAACATATTAAAAAAGGCTAAATTACTAGTAGCTAATGTAGGCTAATTAACTATCAGCTATCAATGTATACAACTGCTATAGCTACTTATAAAATATGTTTTTTGTCTCGAGGGAAATTCACTTCCGAATTCTCTTTCAACATTTACTTTAAATAATTTTCTTTTCTCAAATCAAGTCTTGTTCCACGTGTCAAATAATAAAAACCATAATTTCACAGAGTTAATATTTCCGCTTCATTAGTTGTACTCGTGGGTATACACACTCCCCAGCGACAAAACTTTCTATAAATAATCAGTAAGAATTTCATAATGGAAAGCACTACACAGTTGTAGGGCAGCAGCAATTTTCCATTAATCTCTCTCTCTCTTCTGTAGGCGGTGGTCTCTTTCCAACCTCTTCACCAACAAAAAAAGGTCAGCTTCTGATCTCTGATTATTACCTCAAAATCTGTTACACCCTTTTGATTTCTCATATTATTAGTACTAAATCTAAAAGAATGAAATGCAACTAGATAAAATAAAACATTGAATTTATAGCGACTAGTGTTGATCCGAATTATTCATGGGATTGGGGTGTAGTTTATTGATTGATTTTGTTGTAATTGTGATTTGTTGGTCGGCCAAGCGATATTGATTTGTGGAAGCATGATTTAGGTCAAGTAGCTGCTTGAGCTGGTGTAATGAAATTCTTTAATTAAGTTGGTAATGGACTAATGGGTTTGTGTTTTTGTCGAGTATTTTGATATGGGTGTGAGAATTTTTGAACACTCTTTTGAGTTTCGGTTCAGAATTTTAAAATTGGATTTGTGGTCTTTCTCCATTTTAGCTCAAAAAACCTGTTTACACCCTTTTTTATTTATCATCATTAGTACTAAGCATTAAATGTGACATAAATAAAATAAAACGAAGAATTTATAAAGATGATTGGTTGATTGATTGATGGATTTGTTGTAATTTTGATTTGTTGCTCGGCCATTGAATTTGATTTGTACAATCCATGATTTTAGATCAAGTAGCTGCGTGAGCTGGTGTAATGAAATTCTTTTAAATAAATTGACCTGTGTTGTGTTGTCGTTGAGTGGTCTGATGTGGGTGTGAGAATTACTGAAGACCCTTTTGAGTTTCTGTTCAAGAATTTGATAGTTGATTTGTGTTCTTGATCGCTATTAAATTTTGGTATCAAATGATTGAATTTGTTTATTAGTTTTTGAGAAGGTACTTGAATTTGCTTATTATTTGTCTTAGTGTCTCGCTCCTTTGTTAAATCGAGCAGCATTTCATGATTTCTGTAAGCATCATTTAGATTAAGTAGCTGCGCTAGCTAGTGTAGTGAAATTCTATAAAAGAGAAATGGCTTGGATTTGCGTTTCTTTGATTGTCTTGTTATGGGTGTGAGATTTTTTACGACACTTTTTGGTTTGTCGGTTAAGTTTGATCTTTGTTTTCTTGCTCTCCTACCAGCACTCTCCCCTAAGAACCCCATGTGCGAGTTACCCCGCATACGGCTCAAGTGGCGAAGTCCCTTCCGGTTGCGCTTGGTAAGCGCTTCTATGTAGCCAAGCTTACTACTAGCCGATGAATGTTGATGTCAAATGATTAAGTTCTCTTATAGGCTACATTTTCCCCAAAAAAAAAAAAATTGCTTATAGGATGTGAATATAACTATAAATGTTTCTTTGGATTTTGTCTTTGCCACTGGCAATGAGATTTTTTTTTTAATGAAATTTCCCGGGGAAAGTTGTATTCATTAGAGAAGGAACAAGAGGGGGACTTGACCTTACCTCTTATGATACAACACAGGGACAATATCATTGTCCGGCAAATAAGGGATGGCCAAAAAATAAATTATTACATCCATCCTTAATAATGAGATTGATTTGTGGAATCAAATCATTCATTCCATAACCTGATAGTTCTTATGTTTAAATCAAATAGTTGCTTGAGTTGGTGTAAGGAAGTATTTTGAAAAATTGGCCTGCAGTTGAGTGTCTTAATATGGGGTATAAATATTTTTGAAAACCTTTTTTGGTATCTCTCTCTCTCTCTCTCTCTCTCTCTCTCTCTCTCTCTCTCACACACACACACACACACACAAAAACATTTATCTTTTCAATCACTGATTATCAAGTTGAATAAACCAAGTTGTTTATTATATACACTCAAATGTATACTTTTGTGATTGTATAAGACAGTAACTGTCATCTGTTGAGAAATATTTCTTGCTAGAAGCCTGAAAATGGGATCGACGAGTCTGACAGTCACCTGAAAACGAAGTTGAAATTCATTCACAGCATTATGTTGCTTTTAATGTTTCTAACATAGGATGTTATCACAATACTCTAGTGATTGTACAGATAAAAGGGCTTATGCACCTAATTCTTTGGTACTCCACAAACTCTCTAATGGTCGGAAGGGCACATTACCTTTTCAATGGGTATATTTTTGTGTTGTTCTTAAAAGACAAATAAGTGGATATTCATTCTTGTGTGAGTGAGAGTGGAAAAGAGAGGGGGAGGGAGGGTTTTTTAGAACATATCCAATGGACATACAAGTGTTGGAGAATATTACGCCAATAATATTGGGTTGAAAGTAAGTTACTTGACAGATACTTCATTCTAAGTTGATTTTGGTCGTGTCTGTAATTCAATATAATGCTGAGCTTGTGAAATGACAAATTCAAGTACTTTCCTTTTGGTAATTAATTCTGAGTATTTTTTATGCAAGCGTGTTGGTAAAATGGTGTTTCAAGCAAATTTTGAGCCAAAAAATACTTGGATTCCTTTGTGGCTAACTCATATCGTCAATTGACATAAGTTTGCATGATTTGCTTACTATTTCTATTCTTCAGGTTTGTAAAACCAAAAGTAACGAGATGGTCAGAGCATATTCACAAGAGCACACATATAAGCACCCATGGGAACGTGTGACCTCTGCATCCTGGCGCAAGTTTGCTGATCCTGAAAACAAGCGCACTCTATCACACATCCTCGAGGTTGACACATTGAACCACAAGCTTGATCCCAGTTCAGGGAAGCTTTATACGACACGTGCCATTACTATCCATGCACCAGGACCGTGGTTTGTTCGTAAAATCATTGGTCAGGACATCTGCCACTGTGTAGAATCAACTGTTGTCGATGCCCAATCTCGGTCAATGCAACTCTCCACTCGAAACATTAGTCTCGAGAAGTACATAGAAGTGGAGGAGAAAATCAGATATGATCCTCATCCAGATAATCCAAATTTGTGGACCGTCTGCAAGCAGGAAACGAGTATTAGGATTAAGCCGTTTTCAGCTCTGGCTTCAATGGCAGAGAAAATAGAGCAGAAGTGTGTGGACAAGTTTCAAGCAAACAGTGCTAAGGGAAGAGAAGTGATGGAACGAATGTGCAAGTACCTCGAAGCTGAATCCACCAGAGGCATTACAGCATGATTTAGTAATCCAAATTTACGTTAGGCTTCTTAAGCGCTAGTATTCAACCCCTCCTTTAAAGGTGAGAGGTGAGTTCTTAATGATTACTGTCGGCGGATGAATATCATAGCATGTAAAAGAGGACGCCGATCATGGATTGTTCCTTCTGAACTTTTTGTAAGCTGTAGTAGATGCAATAACAAAGTTATCATAGCATTCATTGTGAGAATGTTACCTAGATGTGCATTTTACTTTAAAATGCTGCAGTTTGAATGTGTAGACATTCTATGCTTCATCTTAAATGGTTTAACCAATGACCTTATATTTATATCTGTCTATCTGGTTCACTTCTGAAGTATCTAAAACAAATTGAAGAATTTATGTTCAAGAAGAGCTTGTATTTAAGTGCATTTTATCCAAATAGTACTGTCATTTTAGTTCTAACTGGTAACAACACAACTTCATTATAGTCGGGCAGCCTGGTGCATGAAGCATTCCGTATTCACGCAGGGTCCGAGGAAGGGCCGCGCCCAAGGGGTGATGTATGCAGCCTACCCTGATGCAAACATCAGCACCGTTGGGCTCTCCTTCAACTTCATTATAGTTGGTCACACGTAAT